TAATCATTTTTATCCCTCAGAAGGAAAAAGTTCTGATTTAGTCTAAAAGATCTCATATTAGCTTCATGTAATAGCTCTCAATAGTGGTATTTCTGTTCTATGATCCATAGGAAAGTTTGAAAGCCACAGTAGCAGTTAATTCTTTAGGAGATATTGTAGCATTGCTTTTGGCCCACGGCATTAAGTAGGTAATAAGTCAAAGGAGGAACAATTGTAAAAATAAGTAGCATGTGTCAGACAACTGGAGGAGTGGAAATGAGATCCCATTTCAAGAAAAGAAAGGGTTTGGGAGTTGGTGGCAGAAGTGTCTGTACACCTACATCTACAATCAAACAGCAGAATTCCTCGTGGACACACACAGAGACGCACATACACACACGTACATACACAGTTTTATTGTGGCACATTAAAAAATTGGTGACATCTCTTTTCAAATTGGCTCCTCCATGTTCTATTCCCACTCCAAAGTTAGCACAAATAAATGAACAGTCTTTTTTAACTTACCTCTTCCCCAGAGACCACAATCATATTCAGCTCCCAATTCTAACCAGTCTCTATATTCTAGATTATATGGAATAGTTAAGACAACATATGCACGTGACCATTGTCATATGCACAGGGACAGTGTGTGGACTCCGGGGACAAGTCTGACTATGGATATGTATTGGGTCTGAAGGGGCTCACTGTCTACAAAAGGAAATAGAAGAGAAAATAATGAAGGAACGTTGGCAGGGAAGGCAAACCAACCAAAGACTGAGACAATACATTACAGGGCCACGTTTTCACAAAGATACCTTAACTCTGAGGTTGAGAAAGCTGAAGGAAGAGATGCCCATATCTGTCCACACATAGTATGTTCTGACTGCAGTGTTTACACATATCACAGAGCAAGGCCTAGAACGCCCCTCCCTGTCCAGCATTTTGCCCTTTGCTGAGATAAATATGGCTTTTATTTCCTTCATCCAGAGGCAAAAGGGCCAAGAACCTCAGCAAATACCCAGGCTACCATTTTGAAATGCAAGTGGGATTTTTGTTTTCTTTGTTTTGATTTTGTTTGCTGATAAATCTGTCCTAAAAATGGCTTTACTCATGGACAATTTTGAAGCAGATGCATATAGATAGAGCAGTGAGTGAAAGTCCCGGGGAACCAGGAGTAAAGGCTGAGAGCAGCCAGTTGTCCAAGACAGAAAATCCTGGATGGAACCACTAACACTTGCAAAGGGGCACTCCAGAGTTCATGAAGATGACATGTGGCTCGTTATAATACTAAAACTCACTTCCCCAGGGATACTTAACATGCTGTCAAGATACACAATGCTCCGAGTTGTACGCAGAACTACCTGAACTAGATAGAGCCCATGGGAGGACCTGAGCCCCAAAGCCCATACGTCCACATTGCTCAAAAAGCCTGCACTATATGATATAACCATTATGCACTGGAGATGTTCAGGAAACTTTGTCTGCTCTAGACTTCTCCCTTCACAGGAAAAGAATCTTTCTCTAATAAGTTGTTTGAATTTCTGCTACACCATGGACATGTTTCTGTCCAACTCCTTGTTCTAGGACACAAGTAACCAGAACCCTTCCGAGGGTGCCAGCAAAACTCAGTGTCCCCAGGATCAGTTCCAATATTGACTTCTATTGTTGGCAACTCTATGTAAGACTGAGGATGATTCATGTAGAAAGGAGAAAGAGAGCACCCAACAGCCCATGAAACACACTGCAAAAATCTTAGGAGTTCTCAGCCTTCTGTGATCATCTGTCATTTCATTGAGCCACATGTTCCTTGGATCTGTCAGGGCTTCCTCAAAAGTCTACCCATTGCCTGTTACTGAAAATGTCCCAGTAATAGCTCATTTTCATGACAACTTTATTAGAAAGAAAATAAAAGTATCCAAAAATGTTTCTGAGCTATAGATCTATCGAGGAAAACTTGCTCGTGTGAATATTCTATAGTTCTCCACCAAAGAAAAGTAACTAAGAAGTGCTGTTCTCACCCCACACCTCAATAAGTTTGGTATATTTGAAGCAATTATCTTATCTTTTAAATTATTTTACTATTCTATGTGCATGGGTGTTTTGCTGATGTATATGTCTGTTCACCACATGCCTGCCTAGTGCTCACAGCAGCCAGAATTCCCAGGAATTGGAGCTAGAGATAATTGTGAAGCACCATGCAGCTGCTGGGAATTGAACCCAGATCCTCTGGAAGAGCAGCCAGTGCTCTTAACTACTAAGCCATCTCCAAGCCAGATAGCAGTTATCTTCACGCTGCAATCTTAACTGTCCTGTGTACATTAGTGCCACTGGCACGACTTCCACAAAATAACTGCCTAAGAACAAATTCATCATCTTGCAATTCTGTGAACCGGGAGCCCTGCAGGAGTCTCACTGGGCTAAAATCAAAATGTGGGAAAGCCAAGGTCCTCTGGGGGTCCTAGAGAAGAACCTGCTTCTTCCTGTTAGGGTGTTGGCAGTTCCAGTCCCTTAGGGTTGAGACTAATGTCTCCCACTCACACTAAGGCAGCCCCCCAAAGCCAGTACCACTCCTCGGCTCATGACACCACCTCCTCCATTTGCAAAGCCTGCCATACGGCCAGTTTCCGGTATTTCAAATGTTGGCTTCACCCTTTCTGATGACGTGCCTCTGATACGCTTCTCTGTCATCCCTTCATACTTTTAAGAACTAGTGTGATTACGTTGGTCCCACCTGGATATGTCTGTCAGGATTCTCAGGCACACTGTGAGCTCCCCTTAGTCCTAGCCTTGGATTCTGGGGCTCACTGGCAGGCATCTCTGAAGGGCAATAATGCTGCTGCCCCACCATTAAAATATTTTTGTGCCACCAAGAGTTTACCTTACATGTGAAACATAAAAACAGACAAATAAAAAAATGCTATAAATACACATTTCTTTTTTAATCTATTTCGAAATTTCTGAAAGGAAAGTTTTAACCCATTGTTTAAAAACACAAAAATGTTCCATTTTTCAAATTGTAATGTGATACAAAAATGGAAATTTGCAGGTGACTTTGTACAACAGCTTCCATGTATTTGACAAGTGTGATCTAAATCCTAGTGTCCTGACTTGGGAAGTGTGTCCACAGTGCAACTGTACTCACACCAGCCAAGTCTGGACTCCAAACTAAAATTAACTGGCATAATGACCAAATTTTAAATAGACCAAGAAATGTACAGTGAGTACATGGGAAAGAATAGAAACTATCCATTGCTACAATTAAAATTGTATTTCCAATTTTTTGCTTTTCTTATTTTAGATATTCATATCTTTTTTACTATTGTATTTTTATTGTTCAAAGCAAAATTTTAATTTAAATGTATTTTATTATAGTCTTCCCCTCCCCCAAGTCTTTTCAGATCCTCTCTCCTCTACCTACCCAACTTTAAATTCTTTCTCAAAAAACAAACAAAACCCCTCTGCAACAACAAAATCAAAGAAACAAAATAAAAACCACATCCAAAAAGGAAAACAAAAACAAAAACCAACAAAAAAACCCACCACCATTGCCCTAGGATATCTTTCAGGCAGTACATCATTGTTGCTAAAAGGGCATTTCCAGAATTATAAATGGATGAAAAAAAATGTTTAAAATTTTAAAAAGCAAATATAGCTTTGTCTTCACCCATCCCACACGGTAAACTTTTGTTTTTCCACAGACATAAAATTAATTGTCAGTAATCTAGACAATAAAATGCATTGCATTAATAAATATCCTTTATAAAAATACATATCGAAATATGTTAGAATACATATACTAAACTTTTACTAACTGGTATGAATAACCAAAAATTGAAAATTACTATGCTAATAAGTATACTACATATATTTAGTTAATATATTGTGTACTGAAACTATTTAAAAGAATTTTTGTCAGTTAACTTAATATTAGTTTTCCATGAGCATCACAATGGCTAATTCAGATACAGATGGTTTCATTTAATCACTCAATCATAACATGAAAGAATAAGGTGTGTGTGTGTGTGTGTGTGTGTGTGTGTGTGTGTGTGTGTGTGTGTGTGTGTGAGTTTATGTGTACCATGTGCATGCCAGAAAGAAACCAGGGAGGTCGGAAGAGGGCATTAGATCTCCTGGAACTGGAATTACAGGCAGTTGTATGCTGCCCAAGAGCCCCTAAGCAAACATGTTTTATACTACTTCTGCATAGTTAATTTTGAACATTGAACTTTATCTTAGTTACAGTTTCTACTGCTCTAATAAAACACCATGACCAAAGCAACTTGGGGAGTAAAGTTTTATTTCATCCGAGTCACACTCCATCACTGAGCAAAGTCAGGGCATGAACTCGAACAGGGCAGGAACCTGAAGGCAGGAGCTGATGCAGAGGCCATGGAGGAGTGCGGCTTCCTGGCTTGCTCAGCCAACTTTCTTATAGCAGCAGGACCACCAGCCTAGGGGTGGCGCTGCCCACAGTAAGCTGGGACCTCCCAAATCAATCATCCATTAAGATAATGCTGCACAGGATTGCCTCCTGGCCCATCTGATGGAGACATTTTCTCAGTTGAGTTTACCTCTTCCCAAAGGAGTCTAGTTGGTGGCTAGTTGTTGATACAAAACTCACCAGTACAAACTTTAAAAGTCACAGAGCCAGCTCACTCATCTCTCTTGAGTGTGTTGGGAAATCTAACTGACCCTGTCTTCAGATACAATTGTTCTTGCTGTGAAATATACAAATAAACTTTTCTAAACATAGTAGCAACAACTAAATCACTCTCATCCTCTGGATCTATTCATTGTCTTTGTGTGATCATTTTTTGTTTTCTGATGATCGGAAAAACATCATAAGCCACATTGCATCTTGTTAACAAGCAGGTAACGAGTAAAAAAAAAAAAAAGGATGCTTATAATTTTATATTTTCAATATATGTATTTCACTTGATATTTGTGTGCTTATCTGTTTGTATTTCATAAATGAGTAGAGCATAGTCCCTTTAAAAGTATAACAAATCCATTCTACTTACCAAACTATTCCCTGAGCCCCAGAGCCAATTGGCTTCAGGTTCTGGTAGCGCTTGAGAACGGTGAAGGTCGAGTCTCCTACTTCCACACTGTAGAACTGGTTGTCTACTTTGCTTTTGCTCATGTTGTAATGTTTGGCAATATATGACACATCCACGTGTTTATCGAATCCCTGTCAAGAAAAACAATGAGGGGACGTGAGACGAGCGTGGTCGTACAATGGTAATGGATACGGAGAAGTCGCTTCTTTCAATGACTACACAGGTCTGGCCATCTATCATCTCATCCAGTTAGCTCACATAGGGAAAAACAATCTGTCTTAGGCCCTGCCAGTTTACTTGAAGTAAGTGAGGCTTAACATGCAAAGAATGTTTTCTCAATGTTAAAATGTTTAACACCTGGGAATACAGATCAATGGTTCGATCCCTCGTAACTTAACAACAGCAACAACCAACACCTGTTTAAAACAGAGAGGGATGAGATTTGGTCACAGGATAATTTCATCCCTTTAGGTAAGCAAACAATGAAGATATTTTGGCTTCAGTGTATCTAAGACACTTAAGGATTCCAGGAAATGAGAGAAAAGCTGACTGGTCACAAGAGGGAAGCTAAAGATGGCCAGCGCAGTCCTTCCTCAAAAAGGGCTCAGGCCACAAACTAGCATGAGGTTCAACTTTTATTAATAAGGTAAATTTGAATTAACCACAATTGACTTCATTTTCCTCACCAGTACCCAAATTACTACTATCCTTATTAAGTGCTGAAAATACCAGATTAAATAAACATTGTGCTAAAATTACATGACACTATTTTGAGGGTGCTTAGATTTTATATACCTTGCTTACTGCATTTCCTGTTTATCTATGGAGAATTTTAAATGTCACTCATATTTGGTAATTAAAGTGTTGTCTTAAAATTCTGAATATTTACATGCAATATATAATAAATTAGTACTTATTCATAAAAGCTCTACATTATACTTTACTACACAAAAGATATGGACTCCATAGTTTGATGGTTCATACTATAACTAACTGATTTCATGTGGCACACAGTGGTGAATGCCTACTTAATACTTAGGCCTCTTGGTGATTTTATTTAGGTTTTAAACATGCATTCTTTCTGTGTGTTATTTCCAACAACTGAAAAACAAATAATCTTAGCCAGTGGTTCTCATTAGACATTGAATTTCCATGTTGGGGGCATTCCGTTAGGAGAATCCTGACATGTTGTATAAAGCAACAGTGATAAGAGATATAGCTGATATGTTCCTTGTGAAAGCCTGCTGGGGGCCCTGCAGGAGTTGGGTATTCCCACACAGCCAATCATTTTCCACATACATCACGAGGTTTGAATGTCCTGATGAAGCTTCAGTCAGTGAAAACTCCACCTACAATGCTTTGAGTCAAGAATTTAAACTAAAGAATTTTTGTATAATTTAACACATTAACTTTTCTGAATTTCAATTCTCATATAATTTGAAAGATTTAAACTCTCTTAGGCTCTGAACCTCTGAGTTGGCCATAAAACCATTTTCTTTGGAAAGTTTTGACATCTCATGTCTAAATAAAAAGTTGAAATGGAAGTATCTCTTAATCTCTGCCTGAATCGAATATGATACAGGCAGGATGGTGACGTCATGGAATATGATCCAGGCAGGATGGTGATGTAAGGAAAACTGAGTGGGGATTATTTGAGTTTAGCTAGAAGGATCCTCAAATCTACCGGAAGACTGCAGGCCCCAGACAGGTGAGGCAGACCTGAATAGACATCACAGGCTGCAGCCTATGGCTGGCACCAGGCATACTGGCAGCATTTGGTACAAATGTGGAGACCACAAATATTGGTGTACACTGTAGATTCGGGATCTGCACTGTTTAGAGAGGGAGCAGAAAACTCAGGTAATTTGCAGATGTAACAAAAGCCCTGAAATCCGGAAGGTAGTCTATGTAGCACAGCATAGAAATTAAAGCTCGTTCAAAAGCAGGGTGATGCAAGCCCCTTCAAGGGTACAACAGTGGGGTCTAGAATTTAGGCAGTGGCGTGGACAGCTGCAGGCACAAGAGCATCAGTGTGTAAACTGTCATGGATTTTGACCGAGTACCATGCACAGCTCTCCAAACCACTGTCATTTCTACTATAGACTCATGATATGAGCGGCCCAGAAAGTCCTGCTTTCCTCCTAAGAAACATGAAACAAAGCCAAATGGATTCACAATATCGAATCCTTTTCAATTGCAAGGTTAACGTGGGGTGACTGGCACCTACCTAATGTGGCCTTTGTTATGTTCCGACCCTTTGTTGCGTGCCTTAGTATTTGGAATATCGCAAAATGCTCAGCACAAGTTAGCCTTATCAAATCTAGATGCTCCTTTTGTCTTCCTCTGGCTTATTCTTCTCCTTGTCAATGAGTGGTGTTCCTGAAGTACCCATGTGTGTTCAATCACATGTGTGTGCTAATTACGTGTGTACTAATCACATGTATGTACTAATCACGTGTGTACTAATCACACATGTATACTAATCACATGTGTGTACAAAACACACATGTACTGATCACACGTGTATACTAATCACACATGTGTAACAATCACATGAATATAATGAATACATGTATGAACTAGTCACAGGTATAATAGTCATGTGTATATACTTATCACATGTGTGCAATAATGACTCCAGTAGACTTCATATCCCAGAACCCTGACTCCACACAGTCACTGCTACCATTTGCAGACTTTGCTGTGGTTTTTCTAGCTGTAATCTCCATCTTCCCATGACGGTTGAACCAACCTGCTGGAGATACTCTCAGCACCTCAACACATATTCAAAAAAGTTTAATAATTCACACAACTTCTTGTTCAGGCTTGTCTAATCTGTGTAATACTATAACTGCATAATCTAGTACTGATGACATGCATGCTCTGTGAGAAATACTTGGCTAGCCCCTGGCAATGCAGTGAAGACAAGAGAAAGTCGCAACCTAGAACGAGCACGGTGAAGTGGTTAAATGCAGATGGTGCATTCTATGGGGGAACAAGGTAAATATCCTGGTGATACATAAGAAGTAACAACTCATTGTCTGTGTCATATTACCATCAATTCACTTAAATACTATGTGTAAAACAGCAAATATATACCAAGTCACTGATATAAAATCAATATTTCATGTTAATGTTTAATTAGCACATATTAATCATACATATAACAGACTTTGCTGTGACACTTTCACACAAGTGTTTTGATCATACTCACTCCATTATCCTCTCCTGTCCTTCTCCAACATCTGTGAAATCATCTTTCCTTCCCCATCTAGCCATTCTTCTACTGTCCTGTTCTTTTTGTGTGACCCCATTGAGCTTCACTAGGGTTGCTTATCAACATTGTTGGTGAGAGTTCATTTACACGATCATGCGCCTCACCAGTGGCTGAACCATTAAAGAAAACATCTCTCCCTCCCCATCAATCATTATCTGTATATAAATCCTCAGGGAGAGGTGGAGCCCCAGGAGCCCCTCCTCCTTCCATGACAGGGTGTTGACAGGTCAAATCCTGTGGAGATCTTGTACAGGTAATCAAGAGCTCAAGAGTACCAGAGTGTCCTACCCAGAAGTTACCACACTACACTGCTCCCCTTATTCTTCTGGCTTTTGAATTCCCCCCACACTTTTCTCATGTTCCCTGAGCATTGGATACTGTATTACAGATGTCTCATTCATAGGTGAGCATTCAATAGTCATTTATTCTGCTTTTGACCAGTTATCTATACACTCACCACTAACTACTACAGAAAGCTCCTCTGACCAGAGCTGATGGCAGCGCTAGTCTATTGGCATAAACATCGTTATTTGGGAGGGAATTTGACAGGGAAATCATAACCATTGAGCAGAACAGTAGCTCCACACTTGCTCATAAACCTCCCCAACCATGGATTTTGACTGGACTTACAGTATGAAACCTAATTTCCCTCCTGTGTAGCTCTCATCAAATCCAATCAGAAAGCCGCTGGTCACTTCCATAACAGGTTTGCCACTATTTCCCCAGTGGGCTCATCCAGCTTGGCTACTCAGTATTGTTACACAGAGAATTCACATCTGAGTGGCTTTTTTATGACAGCTGTCCCCTAGCAGGCTTCATCACACCTAACACAATGTGGACTGGCCAGCAGGGAAGAGCCTTCCATCCCAGTTCAAGCTTGATTTCTCTATGGCCTGTGACTAAAGCTCCAGAATTAAACATCTCTCATCCCCTTTAAAATGAGAACTGCGGTTTTGTGTTGACAACTATGGTGTCCAATGTGGGGCTCCAAGAACGATCCACTTTTCAGTGGAGGAATCAACGGAATGAAAGTCGGGTGCCCGAACGGACCCACTGCGTCCCGGAATCTGTTGTTATTTTCTCAGGTGGATCGTTGGTGAGTTGTTTCTGGGACTCTGTACCGCTCTTGGTTTGGTCAACAGTCAATTTGTTTATTCTTAGCCGGTTAATTAAGGATCCTAATTTAATTTCATTGATCCTCTTTTCCACCCTTTTTGTCTGCTTTCAAGTATTTTATTTTAAGGTGTCCAGTTTTGCTTGCTTGCTTTTAAAGCATTTTGGTCTAGTCTTTCCGTTTGTTAGTTTGTTTGTTGTTTGTTTGTTTTTGGATCTATAAAGGCATTTATTTGGGTTTTGTTCACCTTTGGAACACTGAAGGCACCCTGGTTCTGTTTTGTCTTGGTTTTCTTTGTCGCTGGAATATTTTGATTTACTGTCCTTTGGGCTTTGTCTCCTAACACTGCTCCTCACGTGTATAATTATGTATTTTATTGATTTTTATTGATTGCTAAGACTTTAGCCTGGGAATTTTATGAGTGCCTGATGATAAAGATGCCAAAGATGAGAGACACTGCCTCTCTCTCGCCCAAAGATGTGGAAGCGTCAGGGAGAATACCCCATGACAGCCTCCTAGGGAAACTCAGCTGATATCCGGTGTTCCCTGGTCAGCAGGAAGTTTATTGGTTCGCCTGAGGGGTTGATCCCAGTGTTTCAAGCACCCTCGAGTTTGCATAAATGAGCAGGATAACCTGGAGACCCAGTGGGAGAAGATGGTCTCGGGGTAAAAGCTGAGAAAGTCGTTCCCCAAAGCAGCACATAAAACTGACCCAAAGCACAAACTCACTAGCTAGCATT